TGGGCAGAGGGAACCCCCCCCCCACCCCCCCAGCTACAGCAGAGTCTGCAGGTGAGGTCCCTGGGGCACAGCGCACTTCAGAGCTTGCTTTTGCCCAGGCACCTGTCTGCTTGTCCGTCCATCTGTCCACCCTTCACATTTAGCTGAGCATCTGTTTGCACCTGCACTGGCCTCAGCGGAGGAGGAAGGAATGGCAGGCCCCAGGCCGAGGCCCCGTGTCCGGGGCAGGAGCAGTGACCCAGCACAACTGAGCAACATCAGCTCCGAGCCGCTCCTGACACCAGGCCGTTTCCACCAACAAATCCATCCGTCCTCACGCGGGCACATCACAGAGGAGGACTCGGGGGCCCAGGGAGGTAAAATAAGGTTTGCCCGGGGTCACTCGGCTAAGAAATGTGTCCAGGGCAAGTGACTCAGATGGCCCCAGCCTCTGTGCTCCTAACCACTGCCCCAGCCCGTCTCAGTGGCAGAGCAGTGTATACAGAGAAAGAGGGGGGCTTCGTGGAGGAGGTGGCAGCCCTGAAGGAGGAGGAAACGGGGGAGCACAGATATCCCTGAGGTCCTGAGGGGCCCTGTCCACATGAAGACTAAAGCTTCCCAAACAGGACCAATCGCTGGCCTCTGTTTTCAGTTTAGCTCCCACATCCACTTATTAAGTACCTACTGTGTGCCAGGCAGTGGACGTGCAAAACATGTCATAGTTTTGCCCTCAAGGTGCTCCCTGTCTAGAGAGGAAAACAGACGCCCCCCAGGATTTTGGGTGAGGGGGGGAGGGGGGGAGGGGGGGAGCCGGTGAGCGGAGGTGAGCAGGCGAACGTGAGGCTCGGCCTGGCTGCAATTGGGCTCCGTCACCCAGGAACTGCCCACCTTCCCTGGATTTCCTCCCAGAATGCACTGTGGGCAGCAGATGCACAGGAAGCAGAAGTGCCCGGGAAGGGGACCGCTCTCCTCCCTCCGGCCATGGAAGTCCCTTCCTTCCTCCTCACACACTGCGCCAGGAGGAGCCCACCAGCTGGAGGGGCCCCTCACCGTGACCCTCGTGCCTGAGACCCACAGCATCCCATCCTCCGGTCCCGGGGTCCCCCTGCCCGGGCCCCACCTCCACGCTCTCCCTCAAGCCCCCTGCCCTGGAGAGGGCTGGTGGAGGGCAGTCCCTCCTCCTGGCCACACCTGGGTTTGCCTCCGGGCCCCCTCCTGCACCAGTAGCAACGGGCAGAAACCTCAGGGGGCAGGTGTTACTGCCCGGACTTTACAGATGAAGACACTGAAGTTCAGAGAGTGTAAGCCACCGGCCCAACGCCACACAGCGAGTCAGCAGTGGGACAAGGACGTGGGCTCCCGCGACTGCGCTTTTAATCAGCATGATCCCTGCAGTCCACGCGATCCCCCAGCGGGGCTGGTCTTACAACCTTCCTCCTACGTACGGCCTAGTGACAGCGTAGAGTGAGGGGGTGCTTGGGGTGCTGGTGGGGACCAGCGCCCAGGTTCCCCAATTGGCCACACCCCAGGGTTAGCTTTCGTTGCTAACTGGTTTGGGGAGAAGCAGAAGGCCCATTGCACCCTCCCCAGCCCCTGCCTCACCAAGAACAACCCCTGACGATTGGAAAACACCCATGGGGCATCCTTTCGCCCGCAACATGGATCCCATGCGCCAGGGCCGCGTTAGGGTTAGGCCCTTGTACAACTGTGTCCTGAGAGACAAGCACCAACCAGGAGGCCAGACACTGGAGATCCTGGGGGGCGGGGGAGGGGGGGCAGGCACCGAAGTCTGGAAGGTCCTGTAAGAATGGTGCCCCCCTTCCCTCCCCTGGTTGTCCTGTGCCAATGGCGCCACCTGGTGGCCAGTGGGAACGCCCTCACCTGCAATGCCTCCCTCTCCTTGTCGCTGCTTCTCCCTCCAGGGGTCTCAGGCTGCCCAGCGAGGCCAGGCCAGGGCTGCAGGCAACATGCTGAGCGCTGGAGGGGGCAGGG